GGCCCGCCTTGACTCGAGCGCGGAGACCGCGGCTGCGATGCCCGCCTCTGCCTCTGCCAGCAATCCCTCCAGATCCGCAGACCCGCTGAGTGCGCCGGCCGACGCCGCGGTGCCGCCGCCGCCGCCCGCCGCCGCGGCGGCCGGGCCGGACGCGCGCCTGCGCGCCTGCAGCAGCTGCCGCGCCTCGGAGACGAGATCGCTCTCGAGATCGTCCAATCCCAGATCGCTCGAGGCGCCGCTGCCGGGGGGCTCCTCACGCCGCGGCCGCCGCCGCCGTCCCGCTGCGGACGTGGGCGCGTCGGCGCCGCCGTCGCCGTCACCGTCACCGCTGCCCGGCGCAGCCGTGGCGGCGGCATGGTGCGCGTGCCCCATGGCGGCGAGCTTTGATATCAGCTGATGCAGGTCATCATCTTGCCGCCGCTCCTACAAGGACGCATCAATCGGTGCGCTTATGACAACTTACTCATGGTCAACCCGCCCAGCAGGTGCGCTGCGCGTGCTTCGCCGAGCCCACGTCATCCCTCGACGCCCCCTTGACCAGCCGCGGCCGCCCTAAGTAACGGCAGCCTCCGCCGAGCGCGCGGCACGGCCCAGCGCATGCACAGAAAGAATCTGCGCCCGGCTGACAGGCGATTCGAACTTTCAAAAATAGGCCGCAGATCACCTGTGCGAGCTCCTTCAGCACGCGCCGCGCCTCTTCCTCTTCCCGACTGTCCGCCTCCCGCAGCGCGCCCCGCAGCGCCGCCAGCTGCTCCGCGGCCGCCCCGAGCCGCTTCGACCTGCAGCATGGATTGGGCACGATGCGTCAAGAGTTCCTCGCTGCGGTGCGGCACAATGTGTCTTTTAAGATGCCCTCGTCCCCGCTGTGATCTGATCTGATCTGATCTGGACCAATCTGATCTGGCATTGCCCCCACCAGAGCCCCGACCCAGTGTCCAGTTTTCGGCAAAGGGCTGCATCACAGTTCACTGGACCACTGCTCCAGGCTGCGGGTTAACGCATCGGACCCTCATCCAAGCTCGAGCCCATGCAGGCGGGCAGGCGGGCAGGCGGGCAGGCAGGCGGGCAGGCAGGCAGGCAGGCAGGCGGGCAGCGGGGGGGCAGAGAACGCGCCTGTCGAGGTCAGCAGCCGCCTCCCGCAGCGCCTCCTGCCGCGCCGCGAGCGCCGCCTGCTCCTCACGGATTGCCGCCAGCCGCTCGCGCTGCTGCCGGGCGCGCCTGCGCCCAGAACAGGATGCATCCAAAACGCGCCCATTCCTTCTTTTGCCGCCGCAAAAGCCAAAACCGTCAGCAGCGGATCTATGGATTGACAGCGGCGCCCACCGCCGCCGGGGCCAAACGCGTCCTGCAGGAGGTCACCAGTCAAGGGACACCCCACCTTATACCCTAAACCCTGTGAACGCCCTACACCGTAAATTCTAGAGCCGAAACCCCACAACCGGGCAAAAGTCTGGCAAAGTCGACCGCGGGCACAGCGCCAGCCCCAAAGCCCCCCACGCCCCCGCCTACCTAGCCTGCTCCTCCGCTGCCTGCTCCCGGACCGCGTCCCGCGCGGCGGCGGCCGCGGCGGCCGCACCCTCGTGCTGGACCTCCGCCTGTGAGAATGAGATGCGGGAATATGATTATCAAAAGGCAATTCACGCAGATTTATCTTTTGATGGGCGCGAGGCGGCAGCGGCAGGGATGCGCCCCGCTCCTCCAACAGAGGGTGCGCTGCCGGTGGCCCGAGCGCTGCGGACAGCCGCCCAAGCGCACCCGCGGCCGCGGCGGCGCCCTGCGGCCGTTGGCTGCGGTGCCAGGCTCGCCTGCACGTCGCGGCCACTGGCCGGCCACTGCACTCGTGCCACCCAATATAGTCCGTGTGCCATCAGCGCACAAGCCCCTGTCGTGAACCTTCCACAAACCCGCGGAAGTCAACCCGTGTCAATCAGGAAAGGAGACACATGCACATGCACATACAATCTACACACACTCACACACATAGGCGCACACGCACGCACACGCGCACGCGCACGCACACACACACACACACACACACACACACATGTGCCTGTTCACCTGCCGCGCCGTCACCTCCGCCTGCTCCTCCGCCACCCGGCGCAGCAGCCGGTCGCTCTCGAGCTGCGGGCGGCGATGCAGCAGCGTGCACGCGCAGGGGGGCCGAAAGGGGAACTTAGTCAAACCACAGTCGGCTCGGTCACGGGCTGTTTGCCTGCCTCCGCAGATGCTGCTCAAGGCCCAGCGCGCATTCGTATAAAGCGTCCGAGTGGCGGCGGCAGCGCAGCGTGCAGCCGTCTGTCTTTGGGGGGCCTGGCGCTGATACAGCGGGCGTGCCTCTGCATGGCACAGGCCGGCCCCGCGCAGCTTTGCATGCATCGGCGGTCCGCCCTCCCCTTTGCTGCGGACCTTCGTATGAAACAATCTTGCGCAAACAATTCCAAACCATTTGCAGAACCTGCAATGCCTCAACGAGCATACTGTGCGAGCAACATTGTGTTCTTAGCCTGGCGGCTCCCCCCCCTCCCGCCCACCCTCCCCCCTGGGGCCCCAATTGGCGCCGTAAGCCGCCATCATCAACCGCCTTTGAGAGGGCCTCCTGCGTCCGCAGCTCCTCCGCCAGCAGCAGCCCCTGCGCCGCCTGCTGCGCCGCCGCCGCCTCGGCGGCCGCGGCCGCGCGCGCGGCG